TGTCTTGAATCAGGAAAGAGATCTTAAAATTCAATTTACTACCTAGAAGGAAACAGGGGTTCTTCCTTCTCTTGCCCACCTATCTCTGTCTCATCTGGAGATTAGTCAGGTAAACATTTACTTGGCAGCTGGCTTCTTCAGGAAGTTAATTGCAAAGATTTGTAGAGAATTTAACTTTTTACTTTACACCAAAGAGCAAACATTTTTTAAAAGAAACCGGAATGATTTCACAAAAATTTTCAAAAGTAAACAAAAATGAATGAAACAGAGGAAGAGCACACTTGAAAGGATCTAAATTCTAATAAAGAATTATGGAATATTGTATCTTGAATAAATGACTTCATCTTGTTCCATATGTTTAGAGTGCCAAGGCACTGGGCAAATCTAGAAGCTAGATTTGCATATAAAAAGTGTATTTGTAGTTCATAAAATCACCTTTGGAAGAAAATTTTTAAATTAAAGATGAAAACCTAATCTGCAAAAAAAAAGACTGGCAAAACACCAATTTACTTGAGTAAGTATAATACAATTCAGAATGAGGCAGGAGAAAAAGGCTTCAAAAGATATAAAAGTAAAGTGTTATTTGTTTCTTTAGACCCAAACTCACTGAATATAGTAATGAAGAGTCCTAACTGCCACTAAGCTTACTGACAAAATGCCCCTCAATAAACACCCACTGATGATGCTAAAAATAAGATATTTGGAAAGAAAATAACATGATAGATGCACACGGCTTTGAACCAAATATATTCTTCCACCTGAAAGAACTTAATATCTGAAGCAGAAAATAATATTGAGTAGATTAACATACTCTGTCCCCAGATAATTTTGTTTCCTCATATACATAGCTAAAACTGTAAACTGTCCTCTAGAAATGTTTATTTGAATCTATAAATGACTCTTTTATTACTTAGCTACTCAAAGTAATTATGATATGATAATAAGTGATATTTTAAGTTCTTTTGGAAAACAATGCATTCTGATAATATTATACAGAATTAAAAACCCAAAGTACAGAAACTCTTCTGACATGACTTCCTTTACTTGTTAAAGATCAGTTAGACAGTAGCAGCGAAACATTTGAAGTTCACTGCTAAGTCAAATTTGACTTAAAGTTTAAAGTCAAATCATCATTATCAAATATGGAAAGTGAATACAACAGATTTGATTTTTTTAAATGCACCTATAAGGCACAACAATAATCTAGACACTTAGAAAGTAATGAAGCATACTGGAATTTCTTCTGTGAAGGTAGATGATAGAAAACCCAGAACCCCTTTGCCTTAGAAAGATTCTACCCATTCCAAAGTAAAATAAACCCCCACCACTATTTGGTCATTCCAGTGACAGCTATGTGTTAGCTTGTCCTTCTTACTCATTTCCATTTTATTATGAGGTCAAGAAATGACTCACTGTGGAGATCACATTCAAGGTGACACATGCATAATAAGACGTGTCAGCAATAAGGCCCCATAGGGAGTAAAGAGTGATAGAAAGAGAGAGAGGTTAGAAAGGTCAGTAAAGTCCAGACCACGCACAGCTTCAGGGCAGATTTGAAGCAGGGGAGTGTCATGATCTAACGTTTCCAAAAGACCACTCTATCAGGAATGCGGTGGAGTGAGTGGATGTGGGAAGAGCAGTTAGAAGACTATTCAAATTATCTCAGCAGACGTGATGGCAGTTGTGTGACGAAGACCAGGAGATGAACCTGGGAAATATTCTGGAGTTGTATCTGATAGGGCATACTGATGGATTGTGGTGGGGTAGCAGGAAGCCAAATAAGACTCAAGGCTGCCTTGGTATTATTTACTGAATTGAGGAAAGGCTGTGGGAAGAATGTTGGGGATAGGAAAAAATTTAGGGGTGAAACAAGAGTCCAGTTTTGGGTTATATTAATCTTAGAATGTCTGTGATATATCCAAGTGGATACATTAAGGAGGAAGTTGGATCTAAAAACGTGCAGCTTAATGGAGAGGTTGGTGCTAGATTTATAAATTGAGTAGCCATCAGGTTATTGCTAATGTTTAAAGCTACAAGACTGGATCCAGGTTGAGAGTGTGGCTGAAGTACACCTAGAACCCAGCCTTTGGGCACCTCACCACTGAGAGTTTGGAAAGAGAAGGCCAGCAAAGAAGACTGAGGTGCCCCAGTGTGGGAGAAAACCATAGAACACGGCATTTTCGAAGTCGCAAGTACAGAATATTCAACAAGATGAGAGCGTTCAACTCTGTCAAATGCTGTGAAGACATCAAGCAAGCTAGGAACAGAAACATAACTATTAGATGTGGTAAAAATAGGGGTCATGAGTAGCCCTAACGAGGGATATCTGTAAGTATGAGGGCTGGAAACCTATTTAGAGTCAACTGAGGCAAAAATGAAAAGTGAAAATATTAAGACAGCGCTTCTGCTTGTTGTGATGGGTAGAGAAAAACAGGATAAAACCTGGAAGGGGATAAGATGTCAAGAAAAATATTTGAGTAGAAATGAATACCAGCAAGACTGATTCAATGAAAAGGAGAAACTGAAGGTGGAGAGAAACAAATGTAACTGCAGGAGGAAGTCTTGGAGTAGGTGAGAGGGGATAAAATGCAGAGCACAAGAAGAGGGACCAGGCTTAGATGACAGTAGGAACTTTTTACCCATCACATTGCGAGAAAAGTCACAGAGTATGAGTTTGCACATAAGTAGGGTGGTATATCTTGGGGTACATGATGAGGGAATATGTTGAAACTAGACATAGAACACATGCATATTGTGGGATAGCAAAGCCAGTGTACATCAGTTGTATTAATGAGTATACAGAAATGTATCAATCACTATCTTAAAGACAAATAAGGCAGTAGAGAGAGGGATTTGAGGATATGTCTCAGACATTGCTTTTCCTGATTTGATTCTTCAACTTCTACACATTGCATCTTCATATACTGAAGATTTATGACTTAGCAGTTGGATAATTTTATCATGCTACCAGACAGGGAGCCAAATTCAAAATCTATCTTCCTTGAGAAGTTCTATCCTATCGTCTTAGTCTTCTCTGATTGTTTCTTGACCTCTAAGCTGCATCTGACGTACAGTTGGCACTCAGTCATTTCATGTTTGTCCGCTGCTCATAGATCTTATTGTCTCAAATAGATGTTAAGGTTCCAGGATAGGGCCAAGTATTTTACAATAAAATATCATTGTCTCTCCCACTGTGAAAAACCTAGTGTTAGATATAAAGTCGGTACTTAATAAATGATTGTTGATCAATTTATCTTTTTGGAGTTGAATGGCTATAAAGTTTTATGCAGTAATTCCTTGGCTAACAAACTATGCATAATTCTTCATGGCACCTGCAGGGCATTACTGGGAGATGCTGAAATCATTCATCAATTTTCTCCTTTTTATGCTATTCAATTAGTCTGTCTATGGCAAAGCCTAGTATGTGTATCAATCAAAAGCATAATAATGACCTGTGTACAAGCTATCTCCATACTAATGATTTGTATCTACCATCTTACAAAAAGAGCTTTAGTCTAAGGAGGCACTGAAGTGAAGTAAACTTTAAGAAAAATATTGTAGTAAGGACTGATAATTACCCAGTGTTACTGTCGTCAATAGTGTACAGATAAATTTGAAATCAATTTGGTGATATCTTAAGTGGAAAAATAATATTAAGAGAATACTCATTTTGCATTGTCTTAGATAAAACTTCTTCATCCTGCACTGAAAGCTTAAATGTCAGCAGACTTTTAGTATATGGACTTTTAGTTTGTTGAAATTATGTGTAGTATGTTTAATTTTTAATTTAATTCCAATTCTTAAGCCCATTAAAACTATTTGGATATAATATTTAATCAGAATGTAAATATGGTGTATATATTTTTTCATTTAAGATGCAGTTGTATTATCATACCATATTGACCTTTAATTTTATCTAACAGGTTATCACGGAAAGCTAAAGAATTAATTATCAGAACAGCATTTAACCAAAAGTCCCACATACTATACACATGGTAGTCTACAGAGCTCTGCAGAAGTGAGTGATTACTGCTACTGTAAAATTTTGTCATTCTATAAAGTAGTCATTGACAAAATAAATGACTGTGTTTTTCCATGTTATATGCAAATTGACAAAGATAATAATATCTGATAAAAACGAAAGACTTAGAACTTTAGAACATATGAAACCTACAACAAAATATCATTACCAATATTCCTTCAGAAGAATCCCATAGCATTAGACATTAATAGATAGAATCTTTTTAAAACACTTGTGGCGTGAAATATTTTAATCAAAACAATGAATTCCATAAGATGTGTGTATATTTACGAGATTTCCATTTTTCAATACTTACATGAAAAGATCTGATGATCTTTTTGAAGTATAGGTAAGAAATATTAAACCTGTTTGGCTATTATTCTGAGTTTCTATTCATTTCTCTCTAACCTGCATTTATTTTTGTACTGATTTTATTCATCCCATAAATTAGATTCTGACTGGTGATAAAATGTCAAAGTTTGTGTTGCATATAAGAAATAAATCTAGAAAATTTAGAATTATTTAAAAATTAACCAATAAACTATGATCTATTGGTTCTTTTCGTGAGTGCTTGGGTGGAAGGGAGACATATTAGTACATTAGTAAGGTGTTTTTTTCTTTAATCACCAGGAGAAAAGATACATAAATCTTTTTCTTAAAGCTTTTTTCTTTCCCATAGAGACAACACACCTTAAAATGAAGGTTAATAAGCAATTAATAGAACAGACTTAACTCAATATTGCAAATGTGATAGCATAATATCTTGGTAAATATGGGAATTTTCAGAGCCATAAAATTAAAGACTTTGATATGTGTGAGATCAATAGACATGACTTATCACTATTTAATATGAGCTTTAATTTTTAAATGCCATGCTCCAATGAAAAAGTATATTACACAGGAAAATTGAAATTTCAATAAAGAATCAAGACAAAAGAAACAAACTTTATATTAAAGTATCTTTAAAGGTTATACTTACGCAGCAACCTCCTCTTTTGACAATCCTTTGAAATTCACCTCTAGATAATGATCTATGTCATCTTTTTCTTTGATCAGTTGAGACCTAAATGAAATAGAAAGAAATAATAAAGCACTGCCTTATCAGGTTGAAAAGCTACCAAACATATTAAATGCCATCAGGAGAATAGAAATATTCAGGGTATAATACCAGACAAATAAACGCAATAGCTATAGAGTTAGGTTGCTGGTGGATAATTTCAAATTTTTATCTTTCCTAAATGGAAAATGATAGGGAAGAATATTCCACCCAGTGTGTAAACAAATAAAATACCAACACCTTGAAATAATTCACTTTCTACTGAAGAGTCTTCTCCTCAAAGCTTATAAGATCTTCCATTTTGCTCACATATTGTTTCACAGTATAACTTTCCAACAGCCAAAGTAATACATTGATTGGCACAGAATCCTGAACCAAGAACACCTGTTTGATTCAAATGTGTAACATGAATTTGTTCTAAACATTACTCAATTTTGTTCTGAAATGCTTTTTGAATATATATACATATATTTTTTTTAGACTAAGTCTTGCTCTTGTTGCCCAGGCTGGAGTGCAATGGCACGATCTCGGCTCACCGCAACTTCCACCTCCTGGGTTCAACCGATTCTCCTGCCTCAGCCTCCAAAATAGCTGGGATTACAGGCCGGCACCACCAAGACTGGCTAATTTTTTTATTTTTTTATTTTTAGATAGGGTTTCACCATATTGGTCAGGCTGATCTCGAACTCTTGACTTCATGATCTGCCCACCTCAGCCTCCCAAAGTACTGGGATTACAGGCGTGAGCCACTGTGCCCGGCCTTGGATAGTTTTTTTAATCACACATAAAACTCAAACTATTAAAGGTTCGAGGTGCAAAGTGATATTTAAGAAGCCCTTATTAAAAACATATTATACTTATAGTGCATTCATTCCTCACATCCTTTTGCACCTTTAAAAATAAGCATGCTATCAACCTCTCCTAACTATGATGATATGGAACTAGACAACTATCTGTGTTTTATTCAGAAGCTATTAAAGAATGATGATACAAACTTTGCCTTTAGTGGGTATGATAAAAATGTTTTTCTTCAATAAAATGAATAAAAGCAAAAGTTTTCTTTAAAACCCATCCTATCTTAAGGATATGAGATTTGGCTATGCTTTTGCTAACCTTTAAAACAGAATATAATCTATATAATCTCAATTCTTTAAAAAGAGAGAAAGAATAAGCTTTTTCAGACTTTGTAAATATTTTACATTATTCAAAAATATAACAAAAAATATGTATGTGTGTATATATATATTATAGTAAACACACATGAATTATGCATTCATTGAAAGATTTCTCTGCTACAGAAAAAAATTTGATTTACTATTTTAAAAGAATTTTTATGTTATTTAGCTGAATGTATTTATTTTGTTCCAGGGGCTTTGGTCTTTCTTAGAAATACTAAAAATGAGGCAGGAGAACAAAGAAGCCTCCTAATACTTTGATCATTATACCTTACAGGAATGGAAAAGTAGGCATAAAAAGAATATAAACTTACATATGCAAACTATTTATGTTGGTAAACAATATGTACATTACTAAAAGTCAATAGAATTATAAGTGTCAATTTCAAAGTAGCACAATCAGTTAATATTCATAATTATGACAAAATATATCAATTTCCCTGTCCTGCATTTCCTCAGTGACAACTTGAGTAGCTCAGCAGCCATTCATGGGCAGCAGCAGTTTGATGATGCATTTCAGGCCCCAGCATCATTTAAGGAGCTGATTCATGCCCTAGAAGTAAGGCTCTACCCTACTTCTTCCAAAACAGATCAACCCTTGGGAACTTGTGGACTAAAAGCATTATGTCTTTCAGTCTGGGTGTGGTGGCTCATGCCTATAATCCCAGCATTTTGGGAGGCAAAGGCGGGTGGATCACTTGAGGCTGGGAGTTCAAGACCAGCCTGGCCAACATGGTGAAATCTGTCTCTACTAAAAATATAAAAAGTTAGCTGTGTATGATGATATATGCCTGTGGTCCCAGCTACTCAGGAAGCTGCACCAAAAGAATTACTTGAATCCAGGAAGCAGAGGTTGCAGTGAGTCAAGATCATGCCACTGCACTCCAGCCTAGGTGACAGAGTGACACTCTGCATTAAAAAGAAAAAAAAAAGGAAAAAAAAAGTTACACCTTTCATTCCCAAAGCTTCTGCTTTCTGTTCTCCATACCCATTTAAAACAGGAAATGTATCTCCAAAACTCTATGGGAACCATGACATAATTACAATTGGAAATACAATGAGGAAATAAGTAGTAGCTCAATAAATAAATAAATATATTTACAGTATTTTAATGCAGTTCAAAAATGCTTTTGAAACAGATTTCAGTATTCTCAATATAACAATATTTTTCTCTTCTCTTGAAATGATTTTATTTTCTGAGATACACTATTGACATTTCTTACTACAGAAAATTCATTCTGCAGGAAAATAAGTAAAAACCAGGGGCACGTACTTTGAAATTTTTCTGGAGGAGCATGGCAGCTTCTGTCTGGCTAAGGCTGTAAGCTTTGGGCGTATCATGGGCAGTGGAGGCAGAGTGGTCATTTCGGACTACAAAAAGAAATAAGTAGAAATTGTATTTTAAATAATAAATCTTCCAAAGGATCTGTTAAGACATTATTAGAGATTCACAGTCTGTCATCTTAGTTGAGAATGTCTATATGTAGTGCTACAGCTGTGTTATTCAAGAATGATGCTCAGTGAGTGAATTCTGCAGGTTGCTTCTCTCATTATTTTCTTCCATTGTCTGCTTTTTGGCCAATTTATTAGTTGTCTGTATCTTCACCACAAAGTAGATAAGAAGAAAATTAGATAAATGCATTTGTGGTTCAGTTGGCATATTTGGTAAGAATTTTGTAAGAGACATGATTGCAATTAAAGAATAAAGATTTTTAAGATAGCTATGGATTTCCAATGTTTATGTGTTGCTTTCCTGTTAGAATCAATAATTGAAAATTGCTCATACTTGCTGTTTTGTAAAAGCCTTATTACTCACAAATAAAGGCTTTCTCTTAGATGTGGTAGATGATAAGAACAATTCTCAACAAGGAGACAGCTGCCCTGAGAAGGCACACAGCATAACAATATAATGAAGCACTTAAAAATATACTGGTTTTTAAAAGTTATTTAAAACAACTTTATCTCTCACACTTTGCATGGGTCAGGAATAAGGACAGGGTATGATAGGCATGGATTTTTTCTCCATGATGACTGAAGCCTCTGCTAAGAAAACCCAGAAGCTGTAGTAACACAATGGTAGGGGACAGGAATCACCTTGAAGTGTCTTAACTCACTTTTCTAGTGGCTGATGCTAACTATTAGCTGGGACTCAACTGGGGCTATCTGCCAGAACTCGTACATACTGTCTCATCATGCGGCATGGGCTTCCTCACATCCTGGCAACCTGAGACTTCTTATGTGGCCGCTCCAGGCTCCAAAGGTAAGTATTTTAGAGAAAAGTCAGGCAGAAGCTATATCCACTTTTAGGGTTTAGCCTTGGGAGTCACATAGCATCCACTTCTACTATAATAAAAAGTTTGCCCACATTCAATGCAAATGAACATAGAACCCCTATTGATATGAGAGTGTCAAAGTTTCATTGTAAGAAGAAAATATGGCATGTTGCAACTATTTTAGAAAATGCAGCTTCCCACAGTGGTGAGCAATTAGAAAGCAAGTCTATAAAATCAAGTTATCTAAATCTTATTCCAAAAAGGAAGAAATGTAGACCTGATGTCTTTGAACTTACAACAGAAAAATTGTTACATGGTGCAAGGGCTCTCAGATGCAAAAGAACTCAGGCTTCTGTTAGAGAGGCATCCCAAAGGCCAGAAGGTCCTGCCCCACCCCCTCTATGTCCACCAGGTTTGACCTCTACTCAGACTCACCAAGCGACTAAAAGGCTTTATTTAGGTTTTAAATGGCTTTAGTATTACTACCCTTGTGACCCAGGAAAACTCAAAATAAAATCTGGGTCTTGGATATATTCAGCAGGTATTTAGTGAGCTCCTACTTGTTGCCAGGTTCTGTTCTAGGTGTCAAAGATTCAGCAGTGAAGAAAAAGACAAAACTCTCTAATCTCACAGACTTTGCAGTACGGCGGTAAATATGGAGAAAGACAATACACAAATAAGCAAAATATATAGAACTTCAGGTGTTGATAAGATCATCTACTGGAAAACAAAACAGAGAACTAGAAACTACCCAACCACTCACCAATGGCAAAGGGATAAATAAAAGCAAAAGGAGACAAGCTCAAAGACATTATGGAGAATTTTGTTGGGTGTACCAGCAGCGTAATGTCTTGAGGGTTATGGTAAAAATCGGCTTTTAGTCTCATTGAGGTAAGAATCCATTGGAGGATACAGAGCATAGAATTGACACAATCTGACATTCACCCTGAAAGGATCACTCTGACTTATTTTTTCAGGTTAGACTGTAGTGGTGAAAAGGGTAGAAAGCAGAGGGGCCAGCTCAAAGCCTCCTGTGAAATACAGGGGAGAGAGGGTGGTGGCTTAGGTAGGAGTAGAGGAGGAGAGATGTAGTCAAACCTGAGATGGAGCCACCTGTGGATGGCTGAGACACAATATTCCTCTAGCGCTACAAAGCCATGGTCGGGGAGGGGTGGGAAGGCACTAAGACAAGAGAAAGTCTTCTGAAATTCATGTAGAAATAGACAGCTTTGTGTTTCTGAAAAAGATTATTACCCTGGCCTAAAAATAATTGTTAATATAATTAAAGAGAATTCTAATGCAGATCAGTGGTTTCTTTTAGATATAATAGAATCCTTGTACTACCAGTTTATCAAGGTGTGATGTGATCTATGAAACATAATGCCCACTTATTTTTATGCAGTTATAGCATTAACGTGCACAATCTAAACAGCAAATGCTAGTCTTCTCCTACAGACTAAACATTAGAAACATACTATATTACCCTTTATAACTTTGTAACATGATGACAATTTTTTTAATTTTAAAAATAGATTTTTCTGATTAGGTGTTTATTAATTAGTTGAGTTACTGGAATAACGAGAACTTGCTAAATGGCAACATCATGCAGAGCATACAGTAAGAAGTTAAGACTCATGTGAACTTTGAAGGGACACCAAAGCTCCCATGGGACATGGGCCTCCCATGAGCTTAAGTCAGGGGAGCTATGAAGACTGTTCCACAGAGTTCCAGTGTCTTCCAGTGTTACAGTGAACATCTGAATCATCTAAGTTCTTAACCCAGACCTGTGTAGCCCTAGTAAATTTCAAAAGGGAGAGAGGAAAACAACAACTAAGTTTGCCCCATTTGGGGCATTCCACCCTCTATAAATTTTAGACTCTTTTCTGAAAGGCCCACTTTGCTTGCCAAAGCATTAGGCAGCAGGCACTGGGGCCGGGGTAATCTCTTCATACTTGCAGGGGTCTTTGAAGAATTTACCAAGGAACTGCAAAATGAGGAACAGTGCTTGCAATTTCCTTGAATACTAAGATTACCGAGCTATTTGTAGACAGATAAAAGAGAGCAGCCCCCAGAGGTGCTGATCCAGCCAACAGAGCCCATCCAGGTGTGTATAACTCCCCACCGAAGTTAGCATACCAGCATATTATATAAAATTTATCCTTTTTGATGTTTACTTGAGTTAGATGATTTTTGTTAGAAAAATATAAGCATCTAATAGAAACCAAATGCAAAAGACATACATGGAAAGGGATACGTCTTCTTTGTCATACAGATCAATTGCGATCTTTTTTTTTTTTCAAATTCTGAGTCAACGTTCCTACCATTAAAGTTTCAGCTGCCAGTTCCTTCATTTTGCTCTCCTCTGATCTGAGAACATTAGCAGCAGGAGCACCTTTACTCTTAAATTTAGTTTAATGTAAGTACTGTAAGCCCTGCTGGCAAGCCTCAAGGCACAAACTCTGAATGGGGGGTGGTCAGAGATGAATGATAAAGTGGAAAAAAAGTTATCAGAGCTGAATGATAAAGTGGGGAAAAAAGCATGTTGAAAAAAATATCCCTCAATCAATCTATGTTGGAAGTTTAAGCTTAGAATCAGGATGGAAGTTGAATAGGTTTTCTCTTTGCTTCTAAACCCGACATCCTGCCTTGCCTATGCCTATTGGGAAAGTGAACTTTGTTTCTCAGAATTAATACATGGCCACATAATGTATTTTGTTTTACACAACAGATAATGTGTGATCTGAATTTTATGACATAGATAATATTTTGAATGTACCAAGTATTTAAAGGGATCCTGTAACAAATTACTTTCTTATCTAAGTAATCACCATCTTTTATGCTTTATCAGTTCAAGCAGAGTTTGCAGTACTTACGTTAAATTAAATATCTGTAAAGAAAGCCTTTTGGTCTTTGTTAATATGAGTTGCATCATTTTCCTGGTGTTGGTCAGACAGCATTCTCAGTTCCCATGTGAGCTCCAACCTAGACTCAACAATGAAGAATGGGACTAGTGCTATGATGACTGACCCAGGTCTGAAGCACAAATGGAGCACATCACCACTAGTTATGGCACCTCATCAGGGTTCTCCTAGATCAGTATCTCAGAGGAAAACACACAAGATGGGTGTGACTGCAGGAAGGGAAATTGACCAGATTTGGGTGAGTATGGAAGAAGAATGAAAGGTACCTCTTTGGCTGCCACCAAAATGAGTTTAGCCCCAGAAGCCCAGGCTGAAGCAGCCTGTTAGGAGGACCCAGAGGCAGCTCCTCCAGTGCCAGCAAGTGGGCAGTGTTACAGTGTGGCACCACCGGGTGCTGAGACAAAGATCAAAAGGCCGCCTGAAGCCATTCCACTGTTGGTATTCAGAAGAGATTTGGTGCACTCTTTGATCTGCTGGTTGGCTCTTGTATCACAGTTACAATCTCTAAGTTTGGCCCCCACATGCAAAGACAAATGAGAATGGAGAAATACAGGATGAAAGGTTTGAGAGTGCTAGGTCAGGCTGAATGTGTCCCATGGTGTGAGTTTAAATTTTTGGCCCCCAAGTAAAATTCTTCAAAGAGTAACCCTCTTGCCCTCTATCCCCAGAGATGCCTTTGTCAGGAAACACAAAGGAGGGAGGCCTGCTACTGTGTAAATGGAGGCTACTTGGAGAATGAGTATGTCTGAGGCTGACCAGTGTCTCCAGGGTTCAGTCACTTTGGAGTAAAAACTGAGATGAGAGAAATAAAGCCAGTAAACCACCGTAAGTTAGTTTATTATACATCATCACAAGAGTTCAGAACAAATACGATTTTACTAAAAATCATTCGTAAGAATTAAAACTTTCCATATTATCACAAACTCTTTTACTATGAAAGTTTAAAGAAAACTACAGGAGAAATATCACTATGCTCCTTAAGAAAGTTTAAAAAATTGACAGAATTAAGTTTATAAAGGGTCACTAAATAATGTTTATTCCTGGTATCGTAATTTTTGGGCACCTCTGGCACTCTCTCATGGGTAATTAGATAGGTTGTTAAATTAAATAGAAACACATTTCCTACCAACTGACATGAATGGTTAAATCACAAAATAAAGCAGGAAAGAGTTTGAAGGCAAGTCATATTTCACCTGACTTACATTTACAGATTACTGCTGATGGTCTCTCCAGGCTTATAGACTTTAGCCTGAAAATGAGGAAGCAAAGAATAACAGCAAAGAAGAAAAGAAGTTTAAAATCAGTCACTAGTATAACTCCTCTCCCCGCCCCAAGTCATGGAACAAGATTCAATTTTACAACAAATACTAAGTTCCTATTATCTAAGTTTAGATGAACTTTTAAAGAAAATCTCCACATATAGATCCTATGAAAGAAAATAATCACTAAATCAGTGAAATGCCAAAACATCGGAAATATGTATATATATTGATGTATTTCGATACAAATGTGACATTAGGAATAAGCATTTGTTCTCTCAAATTTACGAGATAAATTTACCTTTGCCAAAAACCGAGAGCATCTCAGTTCCCTTTCTGTTCCCACCTAGTTCTCAACAGGACTAAAGGACTTATTTCTACTCCTATTTTTTCACTGCCCTCAGAGAGTCAGGTGAACTGCAGAGCAAGGGGAACTGGCGCCTTTCCCTACTTCTCTTTCCATTCGCTTCTTGAGGTAAGTGGCAAGGGCCTGGACTCAGGAAGATTGAGAAAGACTAATGGAGGAAGGTCTGTAGGGGTCAGGGAAGAGGCTGCCTGAAGAACAGCCCGCCTCTACAAGGAGCTGAGGAAGTCCTGCCCCAGACTCGCCTTTGCCGTCACGAACCTTGGTGCACTGGCCCAGGTGAACAACTCCAGTTTTCGGTTCCGCCGAACTAAGTCCCCCACCGGCGGCAGGTGCTGGACGCAGGCGCTGCCCCCTCCTCTTGCTAGATTCTGAGACCTGGCTCCGCCTAAGCGGAGTGGACGCGGAGAGCGTCTCCAGGGAAACAGAGCGGCGTGGCGAGGAGGCCGGGGGTGGGGTTAGGCTAAACGGGGGCTAGGGATTGGGGCAGCTCCCAGACGCTTAGGGTTTGGGGGCGGAGCCTGGAGGGGTGGAGCTTACTGACGGCCAGGCGGGGCTTCCAGACAGCGGAGGCTTTTCAAGCAGGGCTGCTTTCAGAAGTTAGCTCACTTTTAAGCATTTTCTCATAACCCAAGGGGCTAGAATTTGCCACTGTCATTTCTTTCGTGGCCTTGCATTCTCAGTATTTTTCATCATTCCCCTTTTGTCCACAGGATTGATGGGAAGACGCTGAGACTGGCATTCATGAGCCCGTGACATGAAGCCACTTTATCCATCTAACTAAGTCATTTATTCTCTTCTTCCTCAACCTCTGTTGCTGTCAGAACACACACAAATGCCTTTTCCTGTCCTGTACCCAGAGACAATTCAATTTTGAATTGCGGTTCGCTACTCAAGTCTCTTTTGGAGAATCTCCCTGCATCTGTCCCTATTTTGTTTTGAATTTTTACCTGACACTCAAGGTTTTATATTCACACTAAATATCATCGTATTAATCTCGGCCCATCATTCCACCTCTTCTCTCAGACATGAATGCAAGGAAGTGAGCCTCCCTGCTCATTCCCTCATACATATATGCGGCAAGAAAGTGAGGCTTGCCACTTGTTACTTCTAAAATACAGGCGTACTGGAAAGTTAGGCTTTCATACCTTGTCTACTGTCACACATTGTAGGAGAGTGAGCCAGAAATATTGCTCACATGAATCATTCTTTTAACCATAAATTGATTCTATTTGGAGCATAAGCGAATCAACCATAACCACACTTTCATTCTAATATCTAATTTGCTGTAACAAATTGCTAAATTATTTCCAAGCAAGTTTACATTATACATTTCATGATCACTGTGAATATATGTAACTGGGCTCTACCCCATCCCCCCACATCAATAAGGCTCTCATTCTCTTCTCATCAGTTCTTTTTCCAGGTTCGACATCACCTTAACAAACTCCACTGTGACCTCTGTAAATTTTCTTTTTCTTTGAGATGAAGTCTCGCTCTGTTTCCCAGGCTGGAGTGCAGTGGCACAATCTTGGCTCACTGCAACTTCCGCCTCCTGGGTTCAAACAATTCTCCTGCCTCAACCTCCTGAGTAGCTGAGACTACAGGTGTCCACCACCATGCCCAGCTAATTTTTGTATTTTTAGTAGAAACAGGATTTCATCATATTGACCAGGCTGGTCTCGATCACCTGACCTCATGATCCACCTGCCTCAGGCTTCCAAAGTGCTGGGATTAGTCCTTGTCACTTTTGCTGACTTTGAGCTTTGTGAATTCCATAAACCTTCCTTTCTCACAAGAGGTTGTCTTAGTTGGCTTTCTAGGTAGTTCCTTCTTGCCTCCGTGGACTTATTTCTCCTACTTGCTGTTTTTTCACTGTAAGTTCTTTGAATAATTCTTTTTTTCCTTCTGTTTAGCATAAAATTCCTTGTTAGAGAACTTTGTTTGCAAGTGACAGAAAACTCAAACTGACTTAAGCAAAAAAGGAAACTGATGACAACCAAAGGATGCCAGATTCAGGTGCAACCTTATCTAGAGACTCAGGCCTTTCTGGAAGCTTTGAGGATTACAGAATACCCCAACCTTTCACTACACAGAACCAATCTCTCCTCCTCTCGCCTCCTCTCTCTTAGACCTACCTTTATTTTATCAGTATAACTTTGCGTAGTGTTTGGCTTATGGGAACCAAACTCTCCTGAAAGATTGTGAGCACTTTGAAAGCACAGACTTTGTCTTATTGATTTCCGAATTTATTTCTGAATTTTCTGGAATAATACAAGGATTAGTATTACAGTATGTGCTCAAAAATATTTTTTGAATTAACTGAATGAATGACAGAATAGACAGGTTTTTCAAACACATTCTTCCTTGTGTAATTCTTCTCATTGCTTCCTCAACCTTCCCCACCTAGAATACCAGGGGGCAAGGTCAGGTGATGTAATTGGTAGCTTAATACTATTACTGACATAACAACCTCTAAAGTTTCCTCTTCCATTCTTGCTCTGGATAAATGATTTTAGGTTAGGTCAGCTCCGTAAAGAAGCAAGAGATAATTTTCTAGTGGAAGCCAATTTATCTTAACTGCTCCCCATAATTGTTCTCACAGTGTTTTTGATATCTCAATTACCAGTTTATGTTAAAATTATTCTGAATCATTCTTGTTTTACTCATGTGTTTTACCAAATACATCCCCAAGTAACATGTTAGGAAAGAAGATATGAGATAAAATTTTAAGTTCTTTTATGTCTGACAACATCCTTATTTTGCCTACGGTCATTTGGTAGGGTTGCACATTCTGGATTAACAATCATTTCCCTCTGAATTTAGAAGGTATTATAATTTTCACTGTTTCCTAGTAGTATCCAGTGTTCAGGATGAGAAGTCTAGTGGCAATTTTATTTTCCTTCCTTTCTATGTGATGTAGTAGTGCAATCCATATGTAGTGACAACCACAAATCTATGTGGCCTATAACAACGAAGTTTATGTATTGACTACCGTATGTCACCATCACAAGTCAGCCTTGGGTTTTGCTCCACGGTGTCACAACAGAATCAATATGAGAGAACCTCTGCCATGTGGAGGATGGCTGGTCTGTAGAAGAGAGAAGATCATGAGAGTAAACTGTACATTAGCTTTAAAAGCCTCATCCAAAAGGATATCCATCACTTTCAGATTTCGTTAGTTACAACTGAAATAGCCATGCTCAACTTTAAGAAAGAAGGTATCTGCAATTTCACCTTGTGTCTGAAAGACCAGATATCCATTAATGGTCATAATGACTGTCCTCGTCATGGTTTTTCCCCTCAATACAGTCATTTTTCTACTACTTTATTTATCTTTTTTGTTCTCAAATTTTATGGCAGAACTCTTCAGCTGAGTTCTCACATCCTTCTTCAGATTTAGATAATTGTCTTCTATTTTTTTAATTATAATTTCCTTGTCTTGAATTTGTTCTATTATTACTTTTTAAGATTCTGTTCAGTGAATGCAGATCCCTAGGTTTGTCTTTTTTCTCCTTGATCTTTTAAAAAAGATTTTCATTCTTTTTGCCTTTTTATTCTAAAGTCTGTACGTTTTTGACAAGATTGCCTTTTAGTCTATTTTTTTGTGCATAGGAGGAGTCACATTCTTAGTCTTTTAGAGCTCTTGCTTTCTGATTGCTCCTTTTTTATAGACCCTTCTTTTACGAATGTGATGTTTTGCAATTATCTCTGAATATATTAATTTGTTTTTTAAAGCTGTCTTTTTATTTTTAATTTCTGTGGGTATATAGTAGATGTATATATTTATGGAATACATTATTTTTATATAGGTATACAATGTGTAATAATCACATCAGAGTAAACGGGGTACTCATCACCTCCAGCATTTATCCTTTCTGCAACAGACAATCCAATTATACTCTTACTTATTTTTAAATGTACAATTTAATTATGATTGACTGCAGTCACTCTGTTGTGCTATCAAAAACTAGATCTCATTCATTCTTACTAACTATATTTTTGTACCCCCTAACCATCCCCACTTTCACCCCTACCCCTTCACTACCTATCCCAGCCTCTGGTAATCATTCTTCTATTCTCTATCTCCACAAGTTCAATTGTTTCAATTTTGAGTTCCCGCAAATAAGTGAGAACATGTGAAGTTTATCTTTCTGTGCCTGGCTTCTTTCATTTAACATAATGACCTCCAGTTTTATCCATGTTGATGCTAATGACGGAATTGTTCTCTTTTTTTTATATGATGGAATAGTACTTCAAAAGTTGCCTTTTTTTGGTTAAATTGTCTTTTCTTCCAGGAAAAGTGTTTCTTTTGTTAATGTTGAAATTTCTCTATTATGTATCTTACTATCTTTGGTTGCTCTATCAATTAGCATTAGGTTCAGCTGTGCAGCTGTGCAGCTCTGAGTGACAAACTACAGAAAAGGAATGGCACTTCATGGTGTCAGGTTCCTAGTTCCTTCTGTTTTTGTTTTTGTTTTGAGATGTAGTCTCACACTGTCGCCCAGGCAGGAGTGTAGTGGCATGATCTCTGCTCACTGCCACCTCTGCTTCCTGGGTTCAAGCAATTTTCCTGCCTCAGCCTCCCAAGTAGCTGGGATTATAGGTGCTTGCCACCATGCCCAGCTATTTTTTTTTTTTTTTTGTATTTTTAGTAGAGATGACATTTCAGTATCTCGGCCAGGCTGGTCTTGAACTCTTGATCTCCTGATCCACCCACGTTGGCCTCCCAGCACAGTGTTCCTTCTGCTTTTAGCTTCACTGTGCATGCATGCCATTTTCAAGATTGTCTCATTGGTGATCCAGCTATTATACCTGCATTTTATCCAAGAAAGCGTGCATAGGGATGAGGGGGTCAAATGGGGAACCTAGCGCTTAAATTTTTATCAATGGAAATTGGGCTATCTAGGCATATTCAGAGAAGAGTGCATAGCCTAAAGTGCTAAGCCCCTATTAAACATTTTCCACTGAGGCATCTTTCTTCAGAAAATTACCCTTTCTTGACTGATATAGCTGTTCTTTCCTTGCTTGAAGATACTGTTACTTCTTTGCCTAAGGTTGTTCTCTTGAAGAAAAATAATAAATTTTTATTTACCCAACCTATCCAGATCTGTAATTAGAAGTGAATTCCATCATGTCCTAGGGGACAAAATTTTAAATGTGCAAATCTGAAAAGTCTCTTGTAAACACACAAACACACACACACACACAGAGAGAGAGAGAGAGAGAATTTGCTAGTTTGTGTCAGTAAAACTCTAGGAACATTGTTTTCTTTCAGAACAAATTTTTGAGAATTCTTCAACAAAAAGTTTGGAATACAATATTAGAAAAAATAAATTTGTCAAATGAGTGCATTTTCCAGAGATTCTAAATTCCATGTGTTATTTTGGGTAAATAAGTGTATTTTGTTTGACACTTTTCTGGTCTGGG